CTCAAATTTCGCCGCTCGTGGCTGGTGTCTCCGGAGAATCTGCATTTATTTTCATTGCATTTCACGCTCGCTCGCGCATCCTTCGCTTGATGACTTGGCTGCAGCAGGAATTTAAAAGCCATCAAGACAGCGAGCGCGAAGGGGAATTTCTTGAGAGCGTTGCTTGCCTTTCAGTCCCCTGCAAAATTAATCCCTCGCTGTAGACTCTCATTACTGACGCGTCAACTGTTCGCTCTCCTGGATTCTGTTTTGGCTTACTTAATTGTGGAGGCAAGGCTTCCTCTCATTAAGAAAAAACGAAAGAGTGCGTCGAAAAATCTCTCACCAAAACCGTCAAACGGGCATCGTAATCTTCTCTAGAAATTCAAATTTTAATTAACAGAGAGATCGGATATTTTATTTTTAGAAAAATAAAAGAAGAAAGGCTTAAAAAATTGAGTCGTTGCGGGAGAGGCGTCGAGCATCGATCTGTTGTGGCAAATTCCCTGATTACATTCCTCTCTGGTGCCACTTGGAGCATCCAAGAGACAAAAGTCTCTCGTTTTTTACCCGCCCCCTGTCACTCGCAAACCTTTAAGTGCCGGTCGGATTGCTAAGCTGCATTGTGCTCAAAGGGTTCCGAGCGAGCAAGCAACAAACTACACAGGCTGGGTGGGTTTACCTCTTTCTCTCCGGCACTCGGATGGCACCCACAGCATGGTCGCTGCCATAAAGGAGGCAATCGATAGCACCCCGCCGACCACAATTTCGCAGCCAGGGGCACTCCGACGCGATTTCGCAACGAAGCCAATTTGCCTAAATTTTATAGAGATGCAGAAGCAGGTTATGCTGTTTTGGTTTTCAGAATCGAGAGCAAGTCTCTAATCTTTTAACTCCATCAGAGAAGATATTTACAGACATACAGGTCCGCTTGGTGGTATTCTTCTTTCATAGTTTTGGAGTATTACATTATTTTTTATGCTAAAGCGGAAAAAAATATTGATATTTTTTAGTGAAAATATAAAATAATGTCGAACACTACAAATATTAATACTATGATGAAATCGGGAGAAATTAGTCTTCACTGATAGGATTTAAAAAAATATTTTGTGTTCCTTGAGTTCGTCTTATTATCCCAACAGGCGAGTAATTAAAAAAATTGGCTAAAAATTTATTTAGAATATTATTTTATTTTTAAATATAGACTAGCATTGCAAGTCTTTTTCCTCGATTTTTTTTTGTCCAACACAAGTGCATAATATAAATTATTGCCTCTTCCACAGAGAAATGTATTATTTCAGGCGGTGCCGAGTGTGCGGAAAAGCCATCATTTCCGAAAGTCAATCGTGAAACATGAACTATAAACAGAGGGGTAGGGGATGGAGCGCCGGGCAGTTTCGGCGTCTTCAAAGGGCGAGACCCCTCCGGGCACGCCCCTGGCCGAATATCATCCCGGCTAAAACACACAGACAACTTCACATGCAGAAGCCCAACGCAGCTTATTTCCTGGCAGCGCCCGAGAGCGCAACGCGCGCGCGTTTTCAAAGGAGTGCACGACAGACATAATCGAAAGCTAATTAGCCAAACATAATTACCGCGGCAGCGCCCTCCTTTGTAGCGACACACGTTATCATCGTTATTATTATGTACACCGTTTGGTAGAGGAGAGTATTGGGAGGCTGCGATGTCAACAACTGGTGTTATTAGTTTACAAGCCCCATGACATGCCGAAAATTTCCTGATCCGCCCGCGTTTTTGCCCTCGAAGAGTTGCTAGAGGACTGCGAGTAAAGGAAAAAGGACTTTGAGGAGCTCAAGTTTGAATTCAATTTGGAATTTGCATTACAAGCTTTCAAAGGTAACTCTCTTGTTTTCTTCTTGCTTAAACAACAAATGAAAGATCACAAAAGTTTAGCCATATAATTAAGATTTATTAAGGTATATTATAATGTGCTTATTATTGCAATTTTTAATTTAACATAGATTTACCAAGAATCTCATTATTTTTTTTTTTTTTTTTTTTTTGGAAAAATCACTTTGGCTGAAAAATATGAGCAAATATAGTTTTCAAGACTTTTTCTATCAAATTTGATTATTTTAAAATATAATTTAGTAATTTTATATTTTATAGAAAATTGATGAAGAAACTGGTATCACTTCTCATGACTTCTCAATAAAAAGGTAATATCAACCGGAAATTTTAATACTTTTAAAATATTGTAGGAATAATTTTATATCATGAAGTTGTATAGAGCTTATATTGATTTAAAGTTATTTAGCTCAAATTTAAAATAACCAAAATGACTTTTCCACCATTTTTAATCTGTAATCCTGATTGTGAGTTTAGTAATATTCATTTTCTAAGTATGCAATATTTTTAAAAATGTGATGATTAACCAGAAAATTTGATTCGTTTTCATGTAAATTATTTCGTTTTATAACTTATATTTCAGTTCTGATTTAAAAATTTTTATGAAGCAACCGTGAAGTTTTTACATTTTGCTTATTTTTGAGCAACACCAGCGCAGCGAAGAGAATCTTTTTAACGCAAAAAGCCACATCGGCCAATTGAATTTTTTTTATACCACGCCACCAAAACCGCTCAGACTGGCACACTCCTTTTTTGCGACAAAACTCAAGTCGGTTGGTCGTGCGGGCCTCTAAAGCGGCTGCGGAATGATAAATTGCAGCTCGCGCGCGTCAGGTCGTTCGATGTCACTTGGGCGTTCTCGGCAGCCAGGGCAGCCGTCGCACAATAAACGTTTACACCCATATAGCCATCCATCGATTTGGCATTAGGCCGTGCACGTTGAATTGACTCTCTGGTGCACGAAAAGTTTGATCATGAACACGGGCATGTACTTTAAAATACGTACACGCGTTCCAATATTTGTTTTCGGCAAGCCGAGCGCACACATTGCGCCGTTTTGAATTAGCTGCGCTTGTATATTTTTGAGCGCGCCCGAGTGCTCACACAAACGGCATACACAAGGGGGATCCGACAGTGCTTTGAGCACGCCGACGATGGGTTGTCACTCATAATCCAACACACACTGTTCAAAACCAGCGTGGAATGCCGAATGAGAACTCGGATTGACGCATACAAATTGTAGCTTATTCATCTCGCAAAACATGTAAATTCGCTTTATTCAAACATTAAAAAACTTACGTGTCATTGTTGACCAGATCAACAACAATAAAAAAATAAAATGGTATTACAAGAAATCGAACAATGCTTCAAAAATTATTAATGTCTGATGTTTTCTTTTGATTCTGAAATATAAAAAAAATGGGGCAAATTACTTGCGAAAAGCAACAAAATCAAGAACAACTCATTTATTACATTTAAAATTTAATTATATAATAGGGAAAATTAATAATTTTTTTAATAGCTTCTAATTAAGATATGAAGATTTTCTTATTAATTTCATTTTTTTTTTTATAAGCAATTATAAAATTGTCCAGAATAAAAGCGCATAAAACAATTTAGTTCTGTTTTTTTTATCAAATAATTTTAAGTATAAAGTATGAATTATTTTATTATTTTCATGAAAATAATACATACATTTTTATAACAGGCGCTGGTTTCCATGTTTTGGTTAAAAGTACTTAATCTGTTTCTCAATCCACAGGAGGTATTGATAAATAATAATATTCAAAAATTAATTTGATCTTGTTAGCAACTGTTGCACAATTGTTACCATTATTTATATTTTTGATGACATCAAAATTCTCAAAATTCCGTTGATTTACAAACCAAAAAAATCTTAATTAACTTCTGATTTAAATGGTTTATTAATTATTTATAGGATCTTATTGAATGAAAAAAATTGAAATCAACACAGGGACGCTTCACTGCATCAGAGGTCGCGCAGAAATTTTCAATATTCGTTTCCACCCCCACAAAGTTTGCGTTCCGGTTGAGCTGCGGACGGTGCAACTAGATCGGAAAGAGTTTCACAAGTTGAGTTTGCTCAGCAAGTTGCAATCGAAAGGTAGGCAAATAGCGCTTGCTCTCGAGAGCCTTTCGAGTTAATTACAGCGGCCGTGGTTGCACAGCAATATGAAAGGATCGATGTTTGCGACCAACACTCGTCAAAACTTCTCCAGCACTTTTAATTTCCGAACGTATCTCATCGAATATAGAGAAATAAATTTTCCTCTCTAGCCTCGATTTCCAAAGGATGCAAAGTACTATCCACCTGGTGCAACCAAACACCGGGCGGCGTCTGATGACTAATGAGTTTGCCAACCGCATCGGGCGCGATTAATCTCTCGCAACGGCCAATTAGCGAAATTAGCGTTATTAGTGCGCGCCAGGGGTGTATCGCACCCGATATGACTCCATTCTTATGCTGCTATGCGCGTTGCATAATGGGCGCCCAATGTAAACCGATCGCAAACCGCAAGGGACACAATGCGTGGAACAATTATAATTACTGCGTCGGCGTTCCAGTCGCAGGGCTGACGCGACGAGCGGAACGAGAGACTTCGGCATTCAATTTTGTAATGCCTTTCCGCAATAGTTGTGTGCAGTGCACGCTCGGCGTTGTTCGCCACACTCCATTTCACCGTTGAATTGATTTCAATCCACTCTATGCGGCCCGACTGCAGTCTGAATTTATACAATCTGTTCTGCTTGTGAATACAAATCTCGTTCACATCAAAGTGAAATTTATACACACATTTTGGTGAAACGTTTAATTTTTAATATTTTAGATAAAAAGTAAGGTAATAATGTGATGCTAATAAAATGTCATGAGAAGATTAAATTCTATAATTGCTTTAATTTCCGCAAAATCATCAGCACAAAAGTTTTTGTTTATTTTCTTGCTTTTTAAAAGAATTTGTTTGAATAAATTAGATTATATAGTGGCATATTTTGATTGCTATAAATAATATTGATATAAACAAAAAAAGGTGCACTTTGTTGTGAATTTTAATTTTACATTATTCTCTATAGACTAACTATTCTGATCTTTTTGTAAGCATTTTTAAAATTTTAATTGCATTTGCCTTTTTTTGTCTTTAAAAAAATCATAAGAATTAACCATCCGTTTTATTTATTATTTCAAATGATTTTTAAATTTTGAATTGCATTATATTTCATTTTAAATTTGCAAAATAAGCAGGTTTTTCTGAATGAGTTTGTCGTTTTTGGTGTAGTTTGAGCGGCGCGAGCGAAGTGGCGCCTCTCGGCGAGGAACGGCGCACGCCTCGTCGAGAGAGCGAGCGAGGCATCGAGGGTGCATGAGGCAGTGACGGGTGATAGCTCGGTATCGCCACATCCCCAGCGGCGCACTGCTCTCTTCTACCCACTCACTGCAACTCACTCACCCACTGCACTCCGTCACACGTTCCTCAGTTCTGCCCGCAGCCCGCGACTTTTCGCATCAGCTGGACTTTAAAAAAAAGAGACAATCGTTCGCGAACTGTTGCACCGTGCCGTGGTTTCTGCGTTTGGTTTTGTGCACCTGGAGGTTGAACTCGTGGCGAGATTCGAAGATCTTCTAAATTAAAGGTAGGAAAAGATAAAAAATACTATTATTTTCTTTTAATTTTAATATAAATTAAATTTAAAAAATAGAATTTTGTGTAAATTTATAATTAATTTTAATCCCTTTTTCGCCTTGCTGGTGGAAAGTTATGCAGCGGTGAGGACGTGTCTGTCGCACCGGCTGCATACCTCTCCCTCTCAATCCGAGTGGCAGCGCAAACAAACAACCATTAGTGTCAGTCGTTCTAATTGTGAATGTATCGCGCGCCCGGCGAAAGGACCCCCTTTATATATTTGTATAATAAAAAGCGACGCCATCGAAAATCGATTAGTCAAAATAAATATTGAATCAAATTGATCTGTGAGTGGCGCGAAACTGGGCCCTGATTTATGGCGCGGAAGTGTGCGTTTTATCGGTTTGAATGGAATCGGGAGCACGTGTGGCAGAGAGAGCGCCCGCCCGCGTGCAATAATTCGAAACGGGGGTCACGATCTCGCGAATATTCCGCCTTATCTCCGAAGAGCCTTTTGCCCCTCGAGCGCCGAGTAGATAAATCTGGCTGGTGCTGCTTTTGCCCTTCGCCTGCACCGCTTCTCGCGAATTGCGAATCAGCCCGGGCGTGATACGAGGCAGTAAAGAAGAGACGAGGAAAAAAAAGAACTTTGTTCAAATTGTTTTTCTTTGTCTGAAATGAAAATTCAAAACATGGGGGGGGGGGCACATTCAGATATTTTTGCTTTATTTATTGAATCTTTTCAGTAGTGTTTAAAGTGCGTTAAAATAATTTAAATAATATTATTAAAATAATGTTTTAATAAAAATTTAATGTATAATATTTAACAAATATATATGTTTCTTTTAAACTTTTTGATATTTATTTTATTAAATAAATTTTCTTAAATTTATAAATAATTGTTTAAAAATTTACAATTATCTGGGGTTCTACCTTAGAAATTTTTACATTGTAGCCCAACGTCTGTTTAATCTGTGATTTAAAAAGGATTAGTATTTGAACGTTGAGGTTCACTGTTGCTCGACAGTAAACTTTCAGCATTGCATTATATGTGTGAGGATTCATGATGTTGATTACATTTTTGTAAGAAAATCTCTAGTTGCATACATTTTATTTTGACTGATTAATTTTACCTTTTCAAAACCTGAGACCAATATTCATTTCTCTAATAATTATAAATAATTTTGTTGCAAGTTTCACTTTGACGAGTTTTACAGAAGATGTGAATAAAAGAGATCGTTCATTACGATTTGTGCCAAATTTGACGCTAATCTGTTGGAAAATCATCACCATCAGGCAATTAAACTAGATCTTTGAACGCAAAGTCAATTAATCATTGTGACGTTTTGAGTTCTCGCCAAAAACTAATTTCCACCCTTGCCGAGTGGCGACGAGAAGCAAAAATTCTCACACACCGCTGCTATATTTATACATCCTTGGAGGAAATCGTAGGAAATTTATTGGACACGATGAAATTATACGCGGCTGCGGTTAGTTGAGCGGGCGGCGTGGGCTATTTTTATTGCCGTGAAACGCGAGACCAGCAGCGGCTTATTGGTGTGACACACGACGAGTAATAATAATGCGCGTTTGTCGCGTGCTGTGCAAGGTACATACGAGGGAGGCACCTGCTCCTCTGGCTGCTCTCGGCGGAGCAATGCAAGTTTCGCTGCCAAGATCATAATTCCACCGACGCGGGCAGCTGCGCTCCCGTATTATTAGCCAATGTGTTTTAAATAGGCGGCGTCAAACTTTAGTTCCTAAACATACTCGGCCGCCGGTAATCCCCGACGCTGTAAGGCAGTAACTTGTTGTTTCCAAAGTGCCGCGCGCACCCCCTCCTAGGTAAATAAACAGCCACTTGAGATATTGAAGCAAAAAACGGAACACGCTGCAGGAATTTTAATGCTGCTGCGCAAACATAATTTATACTGTGTCGTCAAACAGTCTATAATCAAGGCGAGTGTTTGCAAAATCAAATTCATGAATATAGAGATAAATATTTTGAACAAGGAAAATTTATATTTAGAAAGTAACTTAATTTATTTAAGGCTGAATTTTTTTTAAATTTTAGAATTTACATATTAATAAATCAACTGATTCTCTTGAATATTAAAAGATTTATTTCATCTCTACATTTCAAAGAATTAATTTTTTTTTTATAAAATACCTGAAAAAAACTTGCGTTAGTAAGTTTTTAGTAAAATTTCAAAATTATTATAAATAATTTTATATAAAGCATAATATGTACGAGAGAAACAAATTATATATCATGAAAAATTTTAAATTTGGAAATGAATATTAAGGACAATTCAGGAAGCATTTAAAATTTTGCATTATTTGCAGTGTGCTTTGCAAGAAGGACTCTCAATTCCTTCCTTGGCGATTTCAATTTTCAAATTCACACTTCAAATCCTTTCGTCTGCTTCTCTGATCGGCGACGAACCAAAGAATGTGACGATGTAATCCAATCGGCGCAAAACAATCATTGTTAATTCGAGCAGAAAACATGGCTGGAGCGCAGTCGCTGGCAATTATAATAAATTTCTCATCCTTTCTTATCACGTTCGTGCATTAGGCACCCTCCTCTGCAGCGAGACGAAATCCAGAAAATCCTCGAGTCGGCGAGGCGCGGCTGAATTATTGGATTTGGTGCGTGCGCGGTGTTAAATTACACAAAGGCGCGCGTCTCCCTTTCACTGCCTTTTCGCCCACCGGTTCTCTCTTTCCTTTCTCTCTCGTACTGTGCACCGAATTAAACTCTTTGCTCCAGTCCACGCCCGTTATTTAATTATTTTTGATTTGCCGCCTTCACTCTCGCAACTACTGTGCGAATTCGTCCTTTTCTCTTTCCGCCTCTCACAATCGATAAGAAGAAGAAGTGTCGCTCTGGAGAGACTAGACAAGAATTAGATGAAAGCAGAGAGATCGGTTTTCACGAATCTCCGCCAACGTCTCTCTCCCTCGTGATTCGAGATAAAATTTTATGGAAATATAAATGTATATCTGAATGAGCAAGAAAGGGAAAGAAATAAAAATTTATTCCTTATTTAGGGGCGTGATATGAAAAAAGGCAAACAAAACGCAATTACACGGTCGCGGGGCGCGGCGCCATAAATAAATTACCACATCCCCGAAGTCGTGTAAAATTTTATATGCTGCCAGCAACGGCAACAGCGTAAAATTTTATTCTCAAAATTGCCCTCCATAAATTACTCCATTATGTTTAATATTCTCGGCGGCGCAACCGAGGAGAAAAGTGCAGCGCACCAATCGATTCAAACGTGCCGCCGACGCTGCTTTTGAAACTGCGATATTGAAAAGGACAAAAAAAATATGTATTTTTACTGCCAGCAACTCGGCGATTGTCCTCAGGTGACTCGTGCTATTAATGCAAAAGCGACGCTCAACCTGCCGTTTTTTACTCGATGCCGGCAAATCTGTGAGACTCGAGAGAATCGCTGAACTGTGGATAAACAGAAGCAGAGATTTGTGTGCATCTGCTATGTCAGCAAAGAAAAATACGCCCAGTTTGATCTAGAAAATCCATAGCTGTTTTATGTTTCCCATACAGAAAGAGAAACTAAACATTTGTGAGACAGAAATCTTTGAAAGAATATAATATTATGATTTGGTCCACAATAAATATAAAAAAAGAGATGGGAAAAGTAATTTTTAAGGTACAAAGTGTCTTGAATAGCAACAGGAAAATTAGCAAAATTAATTATTTAAAAGATATCCAAATATCATTGAATGAGGTTCTTTAATATTGCAGTAAAAATTTGGTTACATATTAAGATTGATAAAAATAGCTCTCTCTTATTTTTAATTGAGATTTAATACCCTAATGACCCTAATTAACGTTAATTAATTACATTGCCTGATGAATTATCAATAAAGAAACTGCTACATTTAAACTTTATTTAAAAAGCCTAATTACTAGCAAAGTTTCATTATTGTTAATTTGTTCAAAATAAAGTTTTGGTAGTAATACGGCTTTTTAATAAAGATTAAATATAGCAGAAATAATTCAGCTTTTATGTGTAAGAAATTTTGAAATATGGAGACGTCACTTTTTGTTCGAATTGAGCCTGGAAATGCCTGCTAGACGCTAATTAATCCAAGTGGCTTTGGTATGTGCAGTTGTGTCATAAAAGAGTCGGTGATCATTAGTCACTTGCACATGCAGCCGGTGCCCTGTGCGGCGTATTTGTTATCACCGCAGCAGCCGTTTGTGTGCAGAACGTACAGACACGTCGCGAGCGGCATTATTTCGAGAGATTCATTTTCATTGCGAGGGAGCGACGTGTGTAAATCAAAGGAAGCCTCGCATCCACTTCCGATATTATAAATCGCTCTCTCGCAGCCAAGGGCGAGGACCAGACGAGGAATGTGCGGAATCCGCGCGCCCCAGCCACTTTATTTATGTCAAATAATATTCAACGCAGCGGACGAAAATCGCTTTTTTCAATATTATCGCAGGCCAGAGAGATATAAATAAAAAGAGAAAGAATTTCCAAGGGAGATAAAACCGGACGCTGATCCTTTTTGCTCGGCTGCTCTCTTTACATTTTTTACTCCGGCCTCCTTTTTAGATTAAAAACGATGCCAAAACAGCGCGCTGCCTTTTGCCTGTGGAGTAGCAGCGTTTTTTACCGCGAGGATAACATAAAGCGATATTTACAATCTCGCGCACCTGCCAGGCAGCCGATGTTTATTTTTAGTATAAACACACCGGCAAAACATCGTAAATCGTCTTATTTGTGTGCCAATGTAAAGAGGCGGTAAGAAATTCTGTCCTGGTTAGCAAAAAAATATTTCTTTTAGCCAACATTTTTGTATCTATTATACATAAATTATATATGAGTGTTTGAAGCAGCCCTTTAAATTAACAAGAAAGCTGTCAAAAAAATATACATTTTATGTTAGCCAATTTTTTTTAATGCTGTTTTGTTAAAAAAAAAACTAAAAAAAAGAAAAAAGAAAATATTATTTACTTCTAGAATTGCA